AGAAACTACACGAGTGAGGACTATATGCCAAGTTGGAGAAGTGTTTATTTCACCAAATAGAGATGGAATTTTTGGGGTTGGTTGTGACTATGGAAGGCTTGAAGATGGATCCCAAGAAGGTGGAAGCAATCGTGTCTTGGGAGGTTCCGAAGACGGTGAGAGACATACAATGCTTTCTTAGCTTTACCAACTTCTATCAGATCTTCATCAGAATTACTCTCAAGTTGCTGCTCCTCTCACTCAGTTGACATGCAAGGATAATCTGGAATAGGGACCTCTAGCGGAGAAGGCATTTCAAGACCTAAAAATCGCATTTACTATGGCTCCAATCTTGATACATCCAGACTTTACAAAGGCCTTTTATTTAGAAACTGATGCTTCGGATTTTCCTTTGGGAGTTGTACTTTCACAAATGGGAGAAGACAAGAAGCTCCATCTAGTTGCATTCTATTTTCGAAAGTTCTCTGCTGCTGAAATCAATTATGAGATCCACGATAAGGAACTTCTTGCTATAGTGGATTCTTTCCAAGAATGGCGTCATTTTCTTGAAGGAGCTGCACACCCAGTGACCATATACACAGATCAGAAGAATTTGGAGTATTTCATGTCAGCTCGAGTTCTAAATCAACGTCAAGCTCGGTAGAGTATGTTGCTATCTAGGTTCGATTTTGTTATCACTTATCGACCTGGAAAGCAGCAAGGACTATCTGATGCCTTATCGATGAGATCGTATCTTGTACCAAAGGCTGGAGAAGCAGCGTTTGATCAACAATGTACGACATTGTTGAAGCCAGAGCAATTTCGGCTTTGTGCTACTATTGTGCCAATTGATGCTGACTTCTTGAATCAGGTATGTGCCGCGACCATTAAAGATTCAGTAGCCATTGATATCAAGCAGTGTGCCAATGACAACAAATTCAAGGTGGAGGGAGATCTTTTATACTTTGAAGAGCGGTTGTATATCCCGAAAGGACCAGCACGACTCCGAGTTCTTCAATCTCGCCACGATTTTCCAAGTGCGGGATATTTTTGATTCAACAAGACCTTGGAGCTTATTTCTCGAGATTTTTGGTGGCCCCAAATGTGGAAGGATGTGAAAGATTTTATCCTCTCCTGCGACATCTGTTCAAGATCCAAGAATCCTCGGCATCACCCTTATGGACTCCTACAGCCATTACCGATTCTACGTCGACCATGGTCTTCAGTTTCCATGGACTTCATCATGGACCTTCCATCATCGAACTCATTTGACAGCATCTTTGTCGTGGTAGATCGGCTTACAAAGATGGTGCACTTTGTTCCTTGCAAGAAGACATCGTCCAGTGAAGTCACAGCAAGGCTCTTTCTCGATAATGTGTATCGATATCATGGACTACCAGATAATATTATATCAGATCGAGGAATCCAGTTCGTATCAAAGTTTTGGAGATCTCTCTTTGAGATACTGAAGGTGGATATCAAGCTTTCTTTGGCTTTTCATCCTCAAACTGACGGCCAAACGGAACGGGTGAACTAAGTCTTGGAACGATACTTACGATGTAGCATCAACTATCAGCAAGGCGATTGGACCACATATCTGCCGCTAGCCGAGTTTGCATATAACAAAACCCTCCATGCGTCGACTCAATACACACCATTCTTTTCCAACTATGGGTATCATCCGAAGCTTGATTTATTGAGTCCGTCAACAAATAACAATCCAACAGCTGAAGGATTTGCGAAACAACTATCAGAGCTTCAAAATACGTTGAAGCTTCAATTACAATCCGCTCAAGAATCCTATAAGGCGTCTGTAGATAGATTTTAGAATCAAGCAGCTACTTTCAAAATTAGAGATAAAGCATGGCTTCTTCGACGGAATATCAAGACCAAGCGACCATGTGATAAATTGGACTATCGAAGATTGGGACCATTTATCATCCAGAAGCAAATCAATCCAGTGGCGTATCATCTAGAATTACCGGCTTCTATGAAGGTACATGCAGTCTTTCATGTTTCTCTGTTAGAGCCTTATCGAGAGTCGTCTTTTCCCGGAAGAGTACAATGTCCGCCACCTAGTATTGAGATCGAGAACCACAAAGAATACGAGGTTGAAAAGGTATTGGATTCACAGCGAAGGTGGGACAAGTTGGAGTATCTTGTTCATTGGTGCGGCTACGACATTAATGAGTGAACGTGGAAGCCAGCTGAAAATCTCGCCAATGCGTCGTAAAAGGTATAGGAGTTTCATCAACAACATCCTCATAAACCTAAGCCGATTCGATGATAGCTTCCTTCTGAAGCTTACTCACCCATGAATATAAGAAAGGGAGAGAGCAACACCAAAATTCGTAGTTGATGTAGTTATTTTCTCCAAGATAAAATAGAATTTTTTCAGTAGCCATAGTTTGGTCTTCTAATATGGATAGCCAAGAGATAGATACTATGCCAATCAAATTATCTCAACCGACTAGCTCACGAAGGCAACCCCGAGATGAAGAACCGCCTACACCATGACGACGATGGAGGATATCGAGTAACCTATCACTAGTGATTGTATTTGAGTCCGAGCCTGCTTACGATGGTCAGCCAGAAGGCGTGTTTGCAGGACAATTTCACAATGAGGACACGGAAGTTCATGCTTGGTCAGAAGTTGAAGGAGTGGGCCACTATCGTTGGCTTCAAGGGCCAATGAACCACTTGCCTCATGAACAACAGTTGGAGTTCATAGCAGACGTTATGCGACAGATCTTCATTTTCTTGCGTTGGTACTGATCAAACAACATTGCTTCTCAGAGACCTCGAAGCTAAAAGAGGGGGTGATGTTAGGGACATAATCCTTAGAACCTTCTAGAGACAAGTTTCTAGAACCTTCTAGAGACAAGTTTTTAGAACCTTCTAGAAGCAAGTCTCTGGAACCTTCTAGAAGCTTCTTAGTTGGTAGAAGATATTAGAGACATAGTCCTTAGAACCTTCTAGAGATAAGTTTCTAGAACCTTCAAGAAGCAAGTCTCTAGAACCTTCTAGAAGCTTCCTAGTTGGTAGAAGTTACTTAAGAAGCTTCCTAAATAGAAGTATATATTGGAATCAAGGTTGAAGAGTTCTTCAGTCTCGACAACACATCTCTTAGAGCTCTAGCTCACCTCTCTGGTGTTGTTCTCATCTAATTAATCCAGTTCTTGTCAGTTCTTCCTGAACTTCTTGTTAGATCTCGAGTCTATATTTCTGTGTCCGTGACATTATGTCATTGAAACATCATTTATTTTTTTTGTTGTGTTTTTTTTTTTTAAAAAAAGAGTTTGAAATTATTATTGAACAAGAAAAGATGATCTTATCTAAAATATTGAAAGAAAGAGGTTTACTTCCAGTAGCAATTATAATTGACATTATGTTACAAGTTGTAAGTGAAATGTGTTACATATATGATATGAAGGTAGTACATCATGACTTGAATCCTGATAATGTTATTGTGAATTTAATAGATATCTAAGAGATGTTTGATTTGACATTTGTATATTTAAAGTTGCTTGATTTTGGTATTTCAAAGGGTGAAGTAAAGAACACTCCATCAATATGCACAAGAGCAAATTTAGACACCATTGAATACATGTCGTAAGAGGTTATAGGGACAAAATCATTTGAAGAATCCTTGCTAAAGGTGGATATTTTTAAAGAAAATGTACTTAATTTTGGAATGATATATAGTGAGATTAATTTGTAAAATAAATAAATAAATAAAATTATTAATAGTAATAATCTTTGTACTTATTAAGCAAATATAACACATAAAAAAAAGCCAAATTTGTCAAATACCTTTTCAAAAAAATTAAAATTGTTAATTCAAAATTCTTGGTCTTTGGATTTTTTAAAAAAACCTATATTTCTTTAGATATATTTAAGTTTTATAATGTTGAAGAAAGCAATGCTCTAAGGTTCTTTGGAAAGTAATAACCTTAAGTATAAAGAATATACATCATGGATTAGTATTATTTTGCATCCAAAACAATGGTGGACAAGCTTTAATGAAAATTTGTATAATGGTTTACTTCAAAGTTTTACTACCTTTATTCATTAGTTGCAATTTTATTCCAAATTAGTGCATTTGATTCTACAACTCCATCAGCAGTTGATCAAAATAACTTTGGCTCATCAAATCACATTATTAATGAGGTACATATTTTTTATAAAATTTAGTACAAATTCAGTAGATATCATAATGTAATATAAATTATAAAATAAATCTCAATGGGTGTGAAGTCATTATTATTTCCGTAAATTATTATGGTACTTAATATTGGAATCTTATGAATTCTTGTTGGTCAATGGCAAACTTACTGGATATTTCAAATTGATTGGTATAAGAAACTCTGTGAGGTATGTCAACATAAAACTTGGATATACTTAACATATTAACTACATGAATCAACTTCAAAATCTTGAATATCTTTCACACCTTAGTCATACTTTCCAATATTGGCTTTTTTACACATATCAGTATTTATCTATATCTATATATACATGCATAGACACATACACACACACCAATCTATTAAATAATACATTCTCCATATAATTTTCAAATCACATTTCTACTTTTTAGAGTTGTTTGTGAAGGCCATCTTTCTTGTAAATCTATTTTCTTTGTGTTTTTTTATCCAGCCAATCCACTATAGAAAGTCACTTCAAAGATGGAAGTGAAAGTATTCTTAGTTTCTACACTTCATTATTCAAAGAAACAATGTGATACTACTCGTCTAAAAGTCTTCGTTGAGGTGTTGATTGAAAAGGATTTGTACAATAGGCTGAATAAGGTTACCTCCAGTGGAAAGTAATTTTAATATGGTGATTAAGATGCTCATGAACCTATGTATCTTAAATGTTAAACCTGCGTTTCTATGATATGCTTCGAATAGGTGGATCATAAAATACCCAAGTTTATTCGAAAAAACATTTAGAAGCGGTTGAATTATCTGAGGTTTGTACAAAGGTATGTCAATTTCAAAACGAAAGAGTGCGAAGTATTTGGTGAAGCAAATTGGGACAATTCATACTCGTTAAAATTCCATTCCGAGAACAGAGAAGATGATGGGTACATATGCTAGCCGCTGACGAAGATCTAACAGTGCTATTCTACAAAGTGAATCCAGCCATAGGAACCTCAACTTCAGTTTCTGGCAAGCTGGATTGACTTCTTCAAAGCTTGCAGAAGGCTCTGCATGATTAGCGGTTCCGCAGGAGGCACTTTGTCCTTAAATTGTCCATTTCTTGTTGCTTGGAAGTAGGGCTTCTGATCACCCTCTGCAGCGTTCACAATCACATCGATGTGCACCAAGTCTTCAATAACTCCTTCGTTAATACGAATGTAGCCGAGTCGCACCCCTCCTTTCACTCTGTCCACCTGTGGCATTGAGGTGTTCAACAACGTGAACAAAAATTAGGAAGAAAGCTTTAGGAAGACAGTCATGTGCAAGTCTGGAAGCAGAAAATCGGCACAAATCACTTCATATGCACTACCTTTTCAGACGTTGCTTGCATAGGTCAAATATGACAAATTCAGAATTAGAGCTGTGATAATCGAGATGAATTGATTCGTACGCATAGTCATACAGGATGGTAGCACCATGAAGTATGGTTACCTTCAAGGGTGTTGGAAGCGGCAAATTGGCGTTGGCTGTCAAGCTGTTTCCCCACTAAACGATGCAAAGCAACATGATAAGTATTATGAGTAAATGGATAAGTAGACAGTCTTACTCTTCAATCCGTTGAAAGCTACTGGAGTCGTTCCACTGTCCTTGTGGAAGCAGATATTCTGGAACTCAGTCAGGCGGTAAAATAGTCGTTACTCTTGGTGCAATGCTTAGGGATTTAATGAGACATAATTTGCATGTCTCTGAAGGAGCTGAGGACGACCTCTGAAAATGTCCCGATGCTGTAAATCGAAATATTTTGTTTTCATTGGTTAATTACTATTATTAGTCATATATTACATTCGCAAATTGTCTCACAGAGGATCTCTAGATCAATTATGTACTTCTTCAACGATAGTATTCAAGCGGACGCATGTCCGAATGACCGCAGTGTGTTCACAATTGGCACTCTCAATCAAGGAGAACATTCGAATGAAGTTTAAACCTCTCCAGTTTAAAATTGTCCAATTATCTGCAGTACATTGACACGGCCAACAAAATAGGCTGCCAAATCCTTTTACAATCTGACACCAATTCGCACATTGCGACAAATTAAGGGATGGGAGAAGCACTAAAACCTGGAAGAGAAGATTCTCAAGCCGGGCAAGGTCCACATCAGGCGGCAACAATGCTGTGCCAAGAGACACACCTTCCCCCCACTTGTCACTCTGCTGCAACGATCCCTCACCAGCCTGCGCCCTTGCACTGACCACTCGCCTCTCCGCGTCCGGGCCACTCCGAAACACGGCTACCGAGCTATTCGAGCTGACCGCCCCCGAACGCACAATCCTCGAAGAACCAGAAAATCTCGCTTGGCATATCTCTCCAGTGCTCTGCTTCATGCAATGAAGCTCAGCACTTCCGCCAGCAGCTCCAATCAGCGAGCCACTCGCTACAGCTACTGAGAAAGTTGCCATAGCTAGCAATTTTGCACCCTTCACCACCTTCTAAGCTAACGATTGAATGTTTGGTTTGTCTTCAATTGTCAGTATTCCCTAAATAAGAGCGACGACGAAGGAGTAGAAGAAGAAGAAGAAGCAGAGGAGTTGAAGAATATCTCAATCAAAAGCTGGGGCACTTTGAAGTGTAGCCGCTGTTTTGCAGATCGATCTTCTTTTTGAGCATTGTCCAAGATGATTGGTGCAGTGTTTCGAGACTCAGGATTTGGCCAGCCAGTCTTGTCGATGGATGAAGCCAGGTGATCATTCGTTGGAATCAGACAACGATCCTCCTCGTTGCGAGCTTCATGCGGAGCTTCATGCCAAGCTCCCTTTCCTTGTTGATTGACCTTTCTGCTCGCCAGATGGCTTCGAAGCTTGTGTCACATGTGCCGAGAACAGGAGAACACACGACAATTGTAGGGCGAGCTCGAGTACAATTTTACTTCAGCTTGACGGAAGGCAAAGCAGAGGTGAAATGTAGCAGTTGGATATTACATCGTCATGAACAAACGACTCTGAAATTCCAATTGTGCTCTGCCATTGTTGAGGTTGCAAACATCATTTAATGAGAGCCAAGGAGGGTGGGAAAGTAGGGGCGGAGTAAGAATTGATCAAATAATAATGGCGGGCGAGGCGATGTGAGATTTTAAGTTTGGTTGTCAAAATTGTGGTCGTAGGCGATGAAGGGACGGGCAAGTGTAGCCTTGCAACTGCGCCTACGACGGATTTTCTCTCCTGACAAGCCGCTCCGCCTGTTGCCACCCACTCGCCTTCCGCCTTACTTTCTATCCTGATCGCCTTTCCCTCGCCATCATTGATGCATCTTCAAAATTTCGATAATCTTTTCTTATCCATGTTAAATAATCAGTTTTTTTCGCACACTACAGTGCACAGGTGTTCTATGTTAGAGCCATTCTTGTTCTGAGTAGAATTGCAAGTGAAGCAATCAGGATTTCTCTGCGTTCAAATCTACCGAGGCGTTTACTCATGAGCCATTCGTGTGCAGCAACGTGGTATGATTTGGTTATCGTGTTGTGCTATTGTGTTTCAAAGAAAACGACAGGTTGTCGAGACAATTGAAGTCGATATGATATTTCTTCTCATTTGCCAAGAAGGTTTCATTAGAGGGTTTCAAACATTGCATTTTTGGGTGATATTTCACAAGCGATATTTGTTCAAAATATCAAGTTGCTCACCTCTTCTCTCTTTGATTCGACACGAAGGGATATTAAAGTTTGAATTAGGGATAAAATCAAAGGGTAATAAAGTTTGAACAATGGATTTGATATTTTGAGTGATCCTCAAAAGTTTTGAATCTCAATTGTTTTGGTTTTGCAAAAGCACCGTGTTTGAAACCTCCTATTTATTTTGACAATGCATGTCTAATTTTATGTAATTCTAATGTGTTGTGAAAACCAGGGTAAAAAAAAAAGATATGGAGAGAGTTAGAATGCAAGAAGCTATGGTTTTGTCATACTACTGCAATCGGCCGCAAACTCTTGCATGGCTCTTATAATTTTGAATGTCCAAGCTTTGCCACTTAAAAGTTCTTATTCTCATGTATGGAAAACTTGAATTATTGAAGCATAAAAACTAAGGACAGATGCACTAGATTGAAGTATATTTTTTTCTTTTTGAAGTCTTTGCAATGTGATTAAAGTCGTGTTAGTCATGCAAATTAAGTTGAGTTGCATAAATAATTTTCTATATGCCACAAGTTTCTAAGAAAAATTACAATTAGTTTATAAATAATACAATTAATAATGCATATACATTCTTTTGAAGATATATGTATACATATTAAACCTTAAAATGCTCTCAAAAGAGTTTGTGACATTTCAAAAAGTTTATTAAAGTGGTTCTGAATAATCAAATGTATAAAAAAGAATATAATATAATAACATAATAATAAAAACAAATGATTCAAAAGAATTGTTTATGTAACTTTTTTTAACTTTTAACTTAGCTTTAGAAGATCTAAACATTGGTTTGGCTATCCACTTTTGTCTCTTATGTAATACAAGTTTAATGTCATAGTCTTTTAGTGCAAATATACATTGAATTGGACACAATTTTTTGATTGAGTTATAATAGTTATATGATATTTCTACAAATTCATGGTAGTTTTAAATAGTTAATTTATAAAGTAGTCCATGTTTCTTATACAATAAATTAAAAAATACTTAATAACACATTTATAAGAATACCATTTTTACACTTTAATCAAATAATGATCTAAGTGTAATTGAATTTGATGATAGCCTTGAATCTATAATGTTTTCATGAAATAAGCATCTAATTAAAAGATTTCAATTATGTGATGAGTCCCACGAAATGCTAACCATTTTGAATACCATTGCAAAAGAAAAAATAATAGTATTAAATCATACAAAATTTAGTTTATAAATATGTGTCAAAAAAATTAACAAAAAATGATGTTTTGGTCGGAGCTAGAATTAATCAAAGGACCGGTGAGATTGTCAAGGAAAAATTAAATGTATTTGAAAATTATATGAGATCAAAATATATTTTTGTTGAATAGATATCTATCATTTTCATTTTTTATATAGTTAAAATATAATTCTACAATGATGTTTGTCATTCTAATCAATTACACCATCATGCTACAAAAATGTTATATAGATTATTATACATAAGTTGTTAAGATTTCATAAATCATTCATATAGTAACACTCAACTATTTTGAAATTTAAAGAAATTTCATAATGTTCAAAAATATATTTTCATTTCATATAATGTAATATAACCTTACTTAATAGACATTGGTTTTTGTTGATGACACAATATTAGTTTGAGTATATATCTTGCTCAAGTTTAACCACAAGGTATTGTTATTATAATTATAATTATTTGATGTAATCTACAAAATCAATAAATTGTTAAAAAATTAGAAATTAAGCTTTAAATTACTAAATGCATAGGATTTACCATTTGTACCATATTGTCAAACAAGATGTTAATATTGGATATTTGAAAAGTTCAAACAAAAGTTTCTAACATCAAATTTATATACTTTTTGATTATACATTATTACACAATATATATTATTAACCTTATACACATATACATATTTATATATACTAGTAGAAATCCATATTATTGGCCACAAAAAAACATTGTAAACTATGTGTTGTAAATTAATCATTTGTTTGAAGCTTCACATGACATGAAACTCCATGTTACATGTCATTCAATATTGTAGTACTTCTAAGCTCTACGCCTAGTGACCTTGCAAAGCTACTCTCAACATTCTACCACAACAACATGCAAATTTCAATGTCTAATTAATCAAAATTTGAATTATTAAACTTTAGCTTCACTTTTGATAAAATAATGAGATATGCTGCCAATCATAGATGGTTTTTGTCTTGTCTAATTTATTTTGCTAATTTATTTGGCTGGTTTATCCAGTAAGTTGTTTTATATAAGAGATATATACACACACAACACACATACAATAATTACCTCACTGCAGATTTAAATCCACACATTCTAAAGAAAGTCAACAATCTTTAGAATGTACAATAGAATCCCAAATGTATGGAAAATTTGGTGCGGCATGAAAAATAAGTCTGTATTAGCTCTTGTTCATTCACAACTTGCACGTTCAATTACAATTTTATCGACGTTTGAGTTATCATTCAGGTTTCTGTTTCGACATATAAATATATACATTTATAGATTTCTACTCTTTTTTATTTTTCCATTAGAAAGGATTTATGCAGCGAGGACGTCTGGAAAGTTCATATCCGGATTAAAAGTAGTAGTTAACGGAAGGACGGGAACCACTCGGATGGAAGAGGGCAAGGGGGGACCGAGAACGTTGGTAGGGGAACGTGGGAACGAGTGTATGGGAACCTTCGTCTCCCCTGGTCAGGTGGGTGTCCACTATATGCTCCGCTCCGTTAAGTCCTCAGGGACTTTGCAGAGTGGTACGAGTGGTTGCAATTCGGGAGCTTCAGCCATGGCGGTGGCGACCAGAGCCCTCAAGCTCCCTGGCCTGGAGCGACAACGTGCGTGGAAGACAGGAAGAGTTGCGGAAAATGGAAGCCTCCCGTCGAGCGCAGCTTCCATGGTGGGCTGTCGCCGTGCCAATACGGGTAGGGTAGGCGTTGTGGTGCGAGCCATCCGAGCGCCGGAGATAAAAGGAGTGGAGAGTGATGAGGACATTCCGGGCGTAGCGAAGGACTGGAGCCCCGGGAGCTGGCGGTCCAAGACTGCATTGCAGCAACCTTCGTACCCGGACCCTGAGAAGGTCGCTGAGGTTGTGAAGCAGATGGAAGGATACCCACCTCTCGTGTTCGCGGGTGAGTCGCGCAGTTTGGAGGAGCGCTTAGGGGAGGCCGCTTTGGGTAGAGCATTCTTGTTGCAGGGAGGTGACTGCGCCGAGAGCTTCAAAGAGTTCAACGCGAATAACATTAGGGATACATTTCGGTTGCTGCTGCAAATGAGCGTTGTGCTTATGTTCGGAGGGCAGCTGCCGGTTGTGAAGGTATGAATTCATCTTAAGCTCCTCAATAAGTTGCGAGGGCTCGCTGCTAGGCTCGATGAAGCGTCAAGAGCGGACGGCTGTAATTTGTCGAGCATTTTGTAATGTAATATAACGTTGTCGTCCTAAGTAATTTGCAGCTCGCGATTTAAGATTGGGTTTTGAGGAATGTGAGCAGGTTGGAAGAATGGCTGGACAATTTGCCAAACCCAGATCAGCCGATATGGAAGACGTGAATGGAGTATCGCTGCCGAGTTACCGGGGGGATAACATAAATGGCGATGCCCCGAATCTTGAAGCTAGGGTACCCGATCCCGAAAGAATGGTCCGTGCATACAGCCAGTCTGCTTCTACTCTGAACCTTCTTCGTGCTTTCGCCACTGGAGGGTATGCTGCCATGCAGAGGATTAAGGACTGGAACCTTGACTTCGCATCTCACAGCGAGCAAGGCGACAGGTAAACTTTTTATTTGGTTTTGATTTTTGATGTGGACTCTGTAGTTTTCATTGATTAGAGAGAGAGAGAGACTTATTTTATTTTTATTTTTCGTGGTTTTTGTGCTTCTATAAATTCAATTTTATCCTCTTTCACTTCTGTTTCATGTCTCGTGTATTTTCTATATTCGTATCTTCTGGTTGGTAGGTAGTTAAGACTAGTTGCATTTTATGAGGCGTATCTGGTGAATTCAGGTACCGAGAGCTGGCTAATCGGGTGGACGAAGCACTAGGATTCATGACTGCCTGTGGATTGCCTCTGGATTCTCCAGTGATGACCACCACTGAATTCTGGACCTCTCACGAGTGCCTGCTCCTTCCATATGAGCAAGCAATGACCCGGCAGGATTCCACTTCGGGACTATGGTACGATTGTTCAGCACATTTTGTGTGGATGGGCGAGCGAACCCGGCAGTTAGATGGTGCTCATATTGAATTTCTGCGAGGAGTTGCTAATCCTTTGGGAGTGAAGGTAACCCGCTTTTCATTTTTCCTCAGTTTGTCATTTAGTTTTTAAATTTCAGCTTATGTGAGCGGTTATTTGGCAGTGATACATAATCCACTTAGATCATCCGGGTCGGTCACAAGGACTAAGACTTATCACTTGGTGTCATTGCAAATAAGATGTCTCACTGTGTGGCTCTGATTCTGGATTTGGTTTTGGGAAGTCTGTATTAAGTATTTGAATTGATTGTGTAGGTAAGTGACAAGATGGACCCCGCAGAGTTGGTGAAGCTCTGTGAGATTCTAAACCCACGGAACAAGCCAGGTCGACTCACTGTTATTGTGCGAATGGGAGCTGAGAAGCTGCGTCAAAAACTCCCTGCTTTGGTTCGGGCCGTACGCCAGGCAGGCATTATTGTCACATGGGTGTGTGACCCGATGCATGGAAACACTATTAAGGCGCCCTCGGGAATCAAAACTCGCCCGTTTGACTCCATTTTGGTGAGCGTCTCTGCAAGGCCTTTTCCAACCTCAATTCACAATCTTATTCGCTGCTTAGTCTTTTCTGGGAGTTTAATGCTATATTTACTTTGCCTAGTCTATGTCTACTGTTGGTTTCTATTGAATTCACATTCTATGATCCGGCACTGACCTTGCTGACGCGTTATGTTTGACAACCTTTTTGTCTACGTGGTTCAGGACGAAGTTAAGGCTTTCTTCGACGTGCATGAACAGGAAGGTACACACGCTGGAGGAGTTCACCTCGAAATGACAGGACAGAATGTGACTGAATGTGTGGGAGGAGGCCGCACTGTGACCTTTGAAGATCTAAGCTCTCGTTATCACACTCATTGTGATCCCAGGCTAAACGCTTCACAATCGCTGGAACTGGCTTTTATCATTGCTGAGCGTCTTCGCAAGAGACGCATTGCGGTTTCTGATGAAAAGGATGTTTTGTCACTCAACGGTCTTACTCGTGCAGAAGGTGTTGTGTTGTGATGTTAAACCTCGTATAACTAGGGACATGAAGTCCTTAAAAGAAAAGTTTAGAGGAATTGGCCATAGCCCTGGCCAGTATGTCCTGAGTTTCAATTTTCCTCCCATTGCACTTGTGGGATGAGTACCGGGTTCGTCATACTTGGGATCTTTCATTGTTTCTAGAAAAATATTGTAGCAGTCTCTTTCTGTAGTGTAATATGTCTTCTCTGATCAGAGTTGCTCGTCTTTGATGTGGAGATGTTCATCATTTTCGGTGGGAACGAAATTTCCCCGACAGAATGGCGAAAGTTAGTATGCGCTAACGGCCAATTTGGTAACGAAGTCTTGAAAAGAGATAGTGTGGTTGAACATGATTGATCGAATAACTACGTTTCTACTGTGCGAGATTTCCCGCATCTCCAAGCGGTGTAGCGCTTCACTTGAATTTAGCGTTCACCTTTATATATGCTTGACAACGTTACATAACTTGAACTTGGATATGGTACAGTTCATGCTACACTGACATGAAGGAGAAGTATCAATGTTTTAGACGGTAGGGTCTAAGCCTAGATGCCTGTGTTACAGTGATGTATATTGGAAAGGTTCAAAGTCATGATTCCGTATTGTACAGTGAATTTCTAAGGTCCTCTGTGACTCCAACTGCCCTGCACACAGTAAACTCCAAGGGTTTGGGTAAATCCAGCGCTTGAAACGGCGACGATATCGACGAACATGCGTTTACCTTCGACTCGGTAAACGCTGACCCCAGCAACTAACAGTCTGAGAAGTGTTTGAAACTGGTTTGCAATCCTGCTCAGAAAGGGGAAAAACACTAGCCATTGAATGCTTCAGATTGCTAGAAATCATTCACCACAATCGTCCACTTTCGAACTAGCTCGGTTTCCTCTAGAAGCTGATCACCCAACATTGCGGTAGATTATGTTGATGGTTCTTCATAGATTTTAGGGCTTCCGACAGGGAGTGAGGTCCTCGTCTAGAGTCGCTCCCATCTTGTGCTCTTGCTGGTTTCTAGCTGCTTAGAATAGGGGTTGCGGCTCGAAGCAACCTTAAGAAGCTCCGTGGAAGTTTGAGAAGGCCTCAAATTATGATTCCCTGAGCCGAGAATGAATGAAACATCCGAGGGGTACTGGTCCTGTGGAACTGTCGAAGGCTGATGGTCCACGGTAACATGCTCGTATCTTTCATGTGATTGTGAATGTCCATATCCTTCCTTGGCTACTCGTTTAAAGCTAGAGCTGTCCAAGAATTGAGTTGTCAAGCGAGACCTCATCGAAGAGCTTCGCAAATATCTTGTCCGTGGATTAGAATTACTGGAATCGCTAGAATCGCCAGTGGTCGACCCTTTGCTGCGACTGTGTCTCAACGATGACCTAAAAATTGTGGGTGCAGCATCCCAGGAGTTCTGCGCTGCACCACCGAGCTCTGGGAAAGTGAAGGCATCTGCGCTTGGAATGCCAAAGGAAAAAGAGTCCACGCTTCTGTCACTTGATGAAGGATGTCTTTTCTCGACTGGAATGTCAGTTCCAAATGTTAAGCTTATGTCGACACATTGCTCTAGGTCATAAGCGCAGGGGTGGCTGTTCACAATGGCAGTCTCCGGAAGGGGGACTGGTCGATTAAAGTGAACCCAGGAAGGCAGAATCGTGGGTGGTTTTGGGGTAGAAGGAGCTGAGGGGCTATTCGAGTAGATGCTCCGCGAGGGGACCACCTGATGATTAGGGCTTCTGTCGTTAAATTTCTCGCGTGTTATACAATTATCAAGCATTCCAAGCGTAGATGCCTTCACCTCGGGATTCGCAACTGGGAATGGATCGACCTTTTCTTTCTTTAACACAATCCTGTGCTCAACCTGCAAAATGACCTACGTACAGCTATTAACAAATCGATTGCAAGGACGATTGCAAAATGACACTGGATAAGACAGAAACACCTTCTCTTTATAATCAGATGGCAGAGGTGATAAGCGCTTTGCCACAAACAGCGTGATTGACCTCAGAAAATCCGTAAATTCTTAAAATTTACCGAGACGAGGGTAGGGGAAGAGAAAGCACTCACAGGAATCTCGGGTGTTGCAGCAATTTGGCCGATGGTCCTCGTGCGATGCCGGAGCATTTTAACTCCCCAACAGAAGAAGCAGCTTATTGCTAGTAGAAAAAGAGAACCTATCCCAATTGCGATCGCTACTTTGATCGACATTACAGCCATTGAGGGATGCTTCAATCCTGCTCAGTCCTGTTGAACCATGAACTTTTACGGCTAAATGTCATTTACGAGTAGAAAAGCATGCGCTTGAATTACTTCAAATTCTGAACACTACGGAGGAACTCCGCCACACAAAGAACCGACCACCATTGGCTGAACCCCAGAATCAAAATAAGCCAACTAGCAATCGCCGAGTACGACTTTCTTTTCTTTTCTGCTGCTTGTCTTCGCAGGACCGCGTGGTTACCTCGAACGCTAAACCCCTGTTGTAATATTCGTGGCGCCTATTTCCAACAATGCACAAGACGATTGACCTCGCAACAGCCTCAACCCAGCTCACATGAGCACGAACATGAAGAACCGAAACATCGCCTTAGATTTGAACCCATCCCAACAGCCATCTCCGAAGAAAATGACAATATAGATGAATTCCGACTGTAAACGAAGACGAGCCACGCGTGTTTCCAGAGGAATCACTCCCCCCATTTGCTAAAACAAGTTCCAACCCTCCATCCTTTCTACACTATCCAACTTCTACGCTGATTCAACACCTCCTCAATAAGCAGTCCAACACCGCAAACCTCAAATCCTGCCTCTTCTACACATCCCACAGAACCCTGCACCAGAAAAATCTCCTCCAACACCGAGAGTCACTTCAACCGCACAACACCCCGGAGCAAACAACCATCACAGAAACTTAACAGCATCGATTCCAAACCTAGCAATCATCCGAGAATCCTAATCCGCTCCACCTCAAACATCCATACCACCACGTCTACACGCCACGGCTACCGCAGCTGTCGCATACCCCACCCGAAGCCCCAAATCCTGAAACCCCATGGCCACCTCCGAGGGCAGCAGCGGAATCCTCGAGACGACAGAATACTGCATGGTACGAGGAAAGAGTGGGCTCTACAGATTCAGCTACTCCGGGAGGTTCTGGACACGGCGTGTGGCGGGGCCACGATCATGCATGAGGGCGAGGTCTATCAACACAGCATCACTCCCCGCCCCCAGCGATTTGCTCTTCTATGGAGGCGGCACTGCAAGTGCGGTGTTGTGAGGATCGAGGCTGGTGGCCGTGAAGGTGCTTGGAAGGAGACGAAATGCTGACTCAGGTCAACCCTGCCCCATCATAGCCCCGCCAAAAATTGCCTCGCTGGATACGGTTATTGGTATGGGCCTCCGGTAACCGTGCCGTGATTTATGGCTCCACCGTGGACCCAGTTTTTAAAAATGTCGTCTGCCACGTGGGAAAAGTGGCCTTCTAGGATATCGCCTCGCTGTCATTCACACACTGCTTCCGAAAGTAGTAAGAAAAGTTAAAAGCTAAAGTAACTTTTGGCTTTTTAAAGTGCGACCTGTGGTTAATTATTTGCAATGAAATTCAAAGGGGTTTTTGAACTCACAAGTAAAAATGAAAATTGTTAATGCTTATGTGCGTGGGTAGAATGATAGTTCTTCTATGTGTAGATATTTGAAGGTTTCTTGTTTCCTAATTATTTCTATATTTATCATGAGTGTAAATAGATTTATTTCAATAGTCTTTTGTTTTTAGAGTTTGTATTCTATAGACCTTTATTTCAATAATTGTGTGAAGACATAGTCTTTCCTTTTTGAGTTTTAAACATTCAAAAATGATATGCAATGAATGACCGAACAAGAAAAGAATAAAAACCTAAGGAGGAGAAGATTCAGTTGGGTTTTATGTGTTGACTTCAAAAGAATAGTCACTCCTTGTTTATATTTGATATGAAACTCTATCAACTATTAATATCATAATAATAATAGTAATAACAACAAAAACAAGTCATTAAGCTTGAATTCACAAAATGATATAGCTTAGAATTGGTTTTTACGCAGTTCAAAATATGATTTGAGAATTCAAAAATGTTCTAATACACACACATTGTTATTTTTTAATTAAGGTTTCAGCATGAACTCATAAATTAAATATTCTTAAAAATCATTATTTGTTGAGGATTTAATCTAGGACATTTTTATGCTGAATTAAAGAAAATCAAAGCTCTATGCAAACATTTATTGCATGTGATTAATTTACACAATAAATATTAATAATCAAATTTTGAAAATAGTACTTTTTAAATTTTAAGTTCAAATCTCAAAAACATGTTGTGTATTGTCCACTTTGCAAGAGATAAATGACATTATTTTTTATTCAGTTTTGTTATTGTAATGCATTTTAAAAGTACAAACTTTGTAGTAAATCTTTTTCACCTCTTCCATAAGCATTTAAGACCCCCTTGCATGAGTGCATTATTTCTAAAAAAAGAAGAAGAAGCAAGGGGCTTCAATATATGCATACAGGTCAAACAAACCAAAAAAAAATTTAAAGAGATGTAAACTGGAAAAGAAATTGAAGGCAACATATGAGATATTATAATTCAAGAAATAAATTTTAGTCGATTATTCATTTTTTAAATCTTTTTTGCAGGAATGTGTTTGATTTTAAATTATATTTTTAATATTTGTAACTAATTTAAAGATAATACCTGCTAACATCGTCAAACAAATAGTAATTAAATTCAAGGGATGTCAACATGAAGAGATAGCATGGAAGTTAGAAAGAAGTGTTTTTTTTTTTTTTTTTTTTTTTTTTTTTTTACTTTGTATGTCCAGAATTATAAATTCATTAATATATTTATCTATTGGAGAAACCATACTTCTAAAGTATATTGCATAATTTTATTAACATGTGTATATTTTTATAAATCTTAGTGTTAATCTTCTATTCTTTGGAATACAGATTGATTGTTACCACCCTTTGTTGATCTTATAATTTTATTCAACAATAGTACAGTATGTTGTTTTTTTTTTTTTTTTTTTTTTTGAATGCATTTTTATTTATATTTATTTTCAAATTTTGTGGTTCTTGGATCAAGATATTTGGAATTACGAAACAGGATAAACTAATTAATTTTAAAAAATAAAATAAAATAAAATAAAATCCTAGTTGAAACTAAAAAACCTTTAAAGTGATCAATGGAAATTATAGCACATCAACATTCTTGCAATCAAGAGTACGTAAAAAAAAAAAAAAATTTCAATACCAATTATAACTTCATCAGTACAACTTCCATATTGCATAAAAAATTACAGTACTTCCAAAAGACATACAATTTTTTTGGAGTTCAACATTGCAAACTGTGCATGTGTGTGTAAATAAAATGTAGAATTATGCTAACAACTTAGCTTGTCTTTTCCCACTAACTTCCTTCTTAAAGTTTTTGGTTTTTTTCATCACCATGTCTTCATCCTCCCACAAATGAAAAAATAACTAGATGCCCAAGATCACAACTAATTTGCCATGAGAAATCAAACAAAGAAGATAGGGAGGAGAGAACCAAAGCCTTCAAAAGGCACATGGTCAATGAATTAACTCACTTGCAGTCTAGTGAAATGACACAGATGCCACACATTCCTCCAGCAAGACAAAACACATCAAATAATTATGGATGTGGACACTCCAATTGTGGCCCACAATAAGTTATCCTCACTCTCTATGTTTTTGATCCATCACCCCCCTTACAAGTTGTGTTGGCTCTCATGTTGTCTAAACATGTTTTGAGATTCCACAGGCAGGTACATTATTTGCCACTCATATCCCATTACATGAGTTATTTCTCTACCTCTTCCTTTATATTAATAGATCAGACACTGAACAAAGAAAAAACATAAAAATTCGACTTTAAACAAGGGTAAAATTGAGCTCACTATGAGTGTAGAAGATGACTAACACAAGGTTCTATTGCTGTGGAAGAGGTCATGTAAGAAACCCATGTCACTGGTTCATGTATAATATCCATTCCTGTTGATTTTGGGGGGGAAATGGTGGAGATGGTGAACCCAAGTGCATGAGTGCAGCTCATAAATGAAAGCCAAGAGGCTATTCAAATCAATCGCATCACAATGAATTCATGTGCATGCGGAGCAGCAGCAGCAGGGGTGGAGGTGGTGCCATGGCACTGGGTGCACATCACTCGCCATTAAATAATTACACCACACTCACAGAGCTCTGACAACCCTGTCACTCACAACTTGACGGAATCGGTGGCGGGGGCTCGCTGCTTTCCTTCCCTTCAGCACCGAGTAGGAACGTCAGCCTAGCTAATTTCTCAGCAGAGTGGTCATGGCGACAGAGTGTGTTGCTTTGCCGTTTCGCTTTTCGTGATGATGGCAAGTTTAGTTCACTGTTGGTTGCTTTGAGTGGGAATTGCAGCACAGGTGTGGCACACCTGGCTAACATCGTGAACAATGTGAGGAGGAGTCGCATGGGGTTAATATGAAGATTCGAGAAGTTGTTTGATTGGCACGGGAATAGTGTTTGAGGGATGATTGTCATTTTTGTATTAAGAGAGTTGACTGCTGTTACTCTACATGGGTATGGAAACATGATTTGCAAGATTTTCTTGCACTGGTTGATGAGTTAAAAAATGTCATGCTGTGAGCATATCTCAAGGGAAAAACCTGTTCTTTAACACTAATGCCGTGGTTTTCAGGTTCAACAGCAGATTTGAAGCCGAGTAAACGGTTGACTGCAAATGATTTCGCCGACGATTAGGTTCGGGTATAGTAGTTGCTTAGATAGTTAAAGCACAGAACAACGAACAAAGGACAGAAAATACCGCTCATTCCTGTGAAAGCAGGCAATCACGCTGTCTTCCATCGAGATGGTGGAAGACGACACTCGACAAGTGAGAAAAAATAGACGAGGGGTCCATTTTCCTTATGCACAGTAAAAGAAATCCATGAACTTCAAGATGACCAAGTCACCTGAGAGTTCTCTAATGTACATGAATACCTCTGGTTGCAAGGTATCGCCATCGTAGAGGTTCCTCGGCCCATCCCATCTGCCTAGCAAAGAGACGCACCGAACTGCTGATCGAAAGACTTCGCTTATGAGGCGTGCTACGTTTAAACTCCACCGCTCTACGAGCAGTGGCAAACTGCTTAAAGTCATTGTCATTGGCTTTTCCTGACAATGAGTGTAAGCAACGTGATTTAACCTTGAAGCGCTCGAACACAGTCTAAGATACTGCGGGTGGTTGGAGGTGTAGAACAAGAGCACTCGGGTCAGACCACGACAGTAACCGCCTCATGAAACATTTCCTTCCGATGCTGTTTACATATACATTGCTTAGAGTCATTGTCATTGTCTTTTTCCTGACAATGACTATAAGCAAAGCTTCCGACAGACCTTCACAGATCATCGCCTTTAGCGGATTTCACAATGCTCTGAAGGCACGAGAACTCCGCAGCTTGGACATGCTGGTGATGATAAACACAGCATCACAAACATCGAGCAGCTTTGACATCCAGATACCACCATGACTGTTTGCTGACTTTTGCTCATTTTCCCGTAAGAATTTGCTGCATGCTCCTCTCTGTTGCTCCCAAACAGTGAGTCGCCATCGCCAAGCTCTTCGACTGCACACCTCGCAGGTGCAACAGAGCACACCTCACTAGTTCGTTCACATACATCAGGTGGACAACTTCCAGGTTCATCGCCATTCACCTCATTTTCATCACTCTCCTCATTCTGCGATGAAGTGGTGTCAGTTTGTTCAAGAGATGATTCTCCGCGAATGTGCGCTTCCCGCATGTGCTCTCGAACAGTGTTGTTAGCTTCGCAGATGAGCTTCCTGGGATCACGCCTAGCCTTTTTACATGAGCTCCAGTTGAAATAGTAGAATTGCCCCGTCTGAGCCACCAAAAACTTCAGAGATCACAATACTCGCAAAGGGCTTGAAGCGGCGTTGATGCAAACTTAAAAACTCATCTACTACATGATTTTCGGGAGAAACAATCGTATTCCGGCGACACTATAACATAATTGCACAGCGTGGAAAAAGGAGGAGTTCTGAAACAAGACACAGTTAGATTACAAGTGATCATGTTTGGCACCTTTAAATCCAGAAACTGCTCCCAGTCCTCAGGTAAAGCTGGCTTCGATTGTAGCGCCACCTCCAATCCGCAAGCATCTTCGTTCTGTGACGTCTCAGGAGCCTCCTGCACCTCGGAACAATCGTAGCTGCGTTTCCGGGACGAAGGTTCACTTACTTCAATGGATTGTAACCGAATCGCAACGACATGTCGCTGCACTGCCTGAAGAGCATCCTCCGGCCATGCCAGACGAACAGCTCGCACGCTAGCTGGCACATTCTGAATCGGGGTGCCTGGTGAAGCTGGGCTGGACAGCACCTGTTTGGAGGTAGCAGCTGGAACTGAAACCGTCAGAGGAAACGCGTGAGTTCGCAGCTCCAGCGTTGAGCAAGTGCGAGGGGCTGCGCGCCCTGCTCTCCCCATCTTGATTTTCTTAGTCCAGCAAGCACCTTGATATCACTTCAGTTTCTCGGCGAACTTCCGACTGTCGATTGTTAACTTACTTCATGATAGCTGCGCCATCGCTACGACGTTGAGAACAATAGGAACTAGCTGCATTGCTCAAGCATATCTCAAAAATCTCAATCCAAGGCACAATTGCACGTTGGAGTCGCAATGTGGGAGTAGCAGTATTGGTAGTGAATGAAAACGAACTACACGATTATTCCAGCACAAAACCTTGCACAGCGATCCCTGACACCAATCCACACTATTGGAGGTACTAGTACTTCACTGCTACAATATCACAAAGTCCAGAGGCGGACTTGTAACTTTCACGTGCGGTGGTGCTTGTTGACAGTGTCGATTGAAAGATACCAATCGAATGAAACATGCCGAAGTGAAAACTCAAGACCACAAGAGATCGACGCTGAAACTAACCCCGCATTCTACAATCTCAGAACAGCTGGAAGCACTGCCGCAGCTAGGAAGACTTTCACACGTCTACGTCGCAATCACCTGCTCAAAGAACTCCCGCACCTACCTCTCACTAGCGGGACCTGTTCACACACAGAGTAGACACAGATCACCGTGCACTCTGACGCTCATCAACACACGCACCTAACCGACCACTATCGCACATCAACACCACGTCTCAAACACAAACACACAGCAACCCCCAAGTGAAACGTCGACACAGCACACAACTTCCCCACCAGTTACTGATTAGCTAGCTCCAAGATCTCACACACGAGGAAAAGCAGAGGATATACGAACTAGACAAGAGATGAATCCGAGTAGAGGTGATTGGGAATACAGGGCGTCACGAACGAGGAGAGAAATATACAGTCTCTAGTGAAACAACTCGGCAGTTAGGTCTATATCCTAGGCTTGAATTTGGTCAGGTTCCGCAGGTCTATCCTTGAGAATCAAAAGGTGTGGAAAGCGTTGGAAGGTCTCGAAAAAAAGGTTAAAAAGTGTCCTTGTCACATTATAGCTTTGAAGCAGGAGAATTGGAACACAGAGGAGAGCAGAGCGGAAGACAATCGGACTGAATGCCACGAAAAAATTACACAAAATACAAAATCACAAAATACAAAGAGAGGAAATTAGAGTCGACCGGGAGAGAGAAAGGGAAGAAAAACTGAAGAAAAGGAGAGCAGATGACTAAAAGAATGGAGGGAGGAGGGGTGGAGTGGGGGACGACGAAGCCAGACGGGCTGAATGATGGCAGTGATCACCACGGAGCGCTTAGAGTAGCAGGCAGGGCGTGGTGGGTACAAGAGCTGCCAGGGATTTGCAGCTTCGGAGACGAAGATGATGATTCATGGGGATTCGTGGTAGCGTAGAACAACACCTACAGGATGGGGGGGAGGAGAGTCTGCGACGCTGCTGCTGGTGTGGCAGTATTACTCGCCGTAGCAGCAGCACCCAGTAGGTATAGTCGAGAGCGATGAGCTGGCAGCATAGAATACCCTCTGCCGCAGCAATTGTCTCCAGATGCTAGACCACTATGATCCTTTTCCTCTCTGGAAATACTCTGACCACCCTCGCTCTGGAGTTACTCTGCACGCGCCTCGGCCGTGCCAACCCCCCACTCCTCCCTGCCTCCCTCCCTCCCTCCTCGGTCTTGTTACCTTCTCCTCCTCCTATTGATTCTATTCCTTGCGTCAACGACTAACCTGGCTAATCCGCAGCTGAATTTCTGCATTCTCCAGACACCGAATCCTCTGCTCCGACACCCACAAAAAACACTGCTCCTTGCTTCATCTACCCAATTAAAGCAATGAGAACCCTAATTTGGCCCTACATGTCGTTACTGATGGTTTTACTAGAAACTCGACCGCGTATCAGCTTCTTCGTATATTACAGAACTGTATTTTGTTGCTGAATTGGGTGCAGGATGAGTTGAAGGGGGAACTTCCTTGTTTTACTTTGCAATGTGAGAATGTGAAGAAGACTTATCCTTGGTAAAACAAAACACGGCTGCTTCCTTCCTTGGCATTCTGCCCCCCCCCCCACAGTTTCAACACCAACCACCACCACCCAACCGTCCAAGTATCAATTAGATACCCTGATTCTCTCAATCACTTGGATCCCCTATTGTGTTTGAGGTCATGCTTCGGTGAACCCCACACTAAAATATAAATATATATATATATATATATATTATACATATCAGTGGACTGTGCAGTCAGCCATCCCACGCTAGCCTCCAACGCAAAGCAGCCCCTACGTGATAACTCTTTTGTCAGTCCTCACCAAGCGCTTGAAAATTTTGGGGGACAATTAAATACTCTCGAAGCATCACAATGTTGGCTCTTGCAACCCACCTACACATACAAGGAAGAGCCCAACGATCGGCTTCCCGACACCTGTCAGTGGACACCAGTAACCCTGGAGCTCCCTCTCCTGATGGGCAGTTATTAAATCTTGTGGTGTCAGCGGGTCATTCTTGACCGGGGGTTCCATTGAACCCGGAAAGAGACCCGGGGTACTAAATTTACCCTGGCAGTTATTACTCGAACCTTTAGGGACTAGCTGGCTAAGCTACTCACTTTTTATTTTATCTTTTTATTTTTCCGGTTTATATTTTATATTTTATTATTTTCCTACCATGTTTCATTTTAATCCTCCCGCTCCCCACTCCCTGGCACGAGTGGATGAATGAATAATACTCATACCACGGATGTTGGGTTCATGCGTGTCAATACACAGGGCTGCCATTCACCTCCACCCACATCAATGAAGCATGATTAGTGTAACTTGTGAAATAACCCCTATTTGAGTACTGTTGGCCACTCATTTGCATCACCCCCTATTTCACTTGATGATACCAGTAATAATACAACTGAATGATACATTCTTTTTTCCTTTTTATTTTTCTTTCTTGCTTATCCTTTTATTTATTTAATCTACTTGTATCCCTACTTAAAATGATATTGACTGGGAGAATAAACTTACCTGAGCATACATGCACTACATTTGTGGGTTCTTTGTGGAATAATTAAAGGAAAGCAGGAGAAAAGGGAGCGATTTATAGTTTTGTCTGTTTTCTATATGTTTCAGCAAAGACTAACAGTTGGTAAACTTGGATGGCTAAGGAACAAAAAAGAATCCACAAGGAACAGTGAAAGCAGGATCATGATAGGAGGCAATCAGCCTGTGTATTATTTGACCCATCAAAAATGAAAGTGAACAATTTGTATCCTTCATGCTCACTGGGCATTATTGATTAGCTGTCCCCCAAAAAACAAAAACAATATCCGACAAGGAAAGAAAAGAGCCTATATAGTCTCAATGGTAGTGTAAACTCAGTGCATGGGTCTTCGAAAGGTTGTGACTTTTTCCTATTTGTAGGGTGCAAGGCAATAAACATTAGAAACTGTGGCATTATCCAAAGGGTACTCCTTGAACATCTATCCATTCTTTCAACCTAAACATTGTACCAAAAACTTGAAATTCATATTCTTTGGAATAGGTTCAATCTCTGTCTATTAGTTGGACAAATACTTGGCCAACTCTCACAAACATGTTCTTTTCTTTTCTTTTTTGCAGGTGATCATCCTTCGAGCATTTTAAAGGAAGTACAGAATCCGATTATCAATCGATTTGCACCCACTTGAACAATCAAACGAACGAACGAACGAACGAATGAATGAATGAATGAATGAATGGACATAAGGATGAACGAAATGAAAGTGCAGAGCTTGAAACGAAGGCATCTTGAAACAGGGTACCCTTCAAGAGAGTACCCTAAAAAGTATGGTCCTGGCAGCCCCTCACCGCAACCTTTAAGGCTGCCCAATGATGCTGAATGAGGCCTCACAGCTCCAGCCCCTACAGTCTTAAAGTCAATTTCACTCGAAGGCTTGGGGGCAGTCACCAAAAAGCAAATCGAAAAAGAAAAGAAAAGAAAAGCAGAACAAAGTAGCTCGTCCCCGCTCTCCAAGGCAAGCCCTAGCATTCAAACGCCGCCTGTTCCCCAACACCGTTCCCCGTGTTCCCTAGCATCGGAGAACTGGGTCCATGAGAACTCTGCGTTTCCTTTGAAATTACAGCTAGAAGAGTGAGTACCAGACCAAGCTGAGGCAGGGGCACGGTTCCCAACCCAGTCAGTTGTGAAGTGGTACTAAAGCTCCTTTTTGCCCTTTTATTTTAATGGTTCGGGGACCTTTCTGTTTGCCACTCCTCTCTCTCTCTCAAGTCTTCTTTGCTCAAGAGCATCCGCATTCAATCTCGCCCCACCTTTGCTGCTGCATTAAAGAGGGGAGAGAGAGCCCAAGGACTTCATTCATCCTTTATGGATGATATCATCCACTCGTAGGATGTTGAATCTTCAGTAAGACTTGGTCCTTCCCAACTGCATGACTTGTCATTAACTCCACAACTGACTTTTTACAAGTTGATAACAATGAGGGATTTTAATGAGACTTCCAGAAAACGTGGCTCCTGTCAAAGCTGAGCTCCAGTGCACCCCAGTTTGGATTTTACATTGTTTGATATGATTCAAGTTGGTTTATTATCATTCTTCGATTAATGCCCCCAGCATGGAGCTGACCCAATTGCGAATTTATTTATAGAATATTACTGGTGTATGTTAACTGCTTACTCCTTCTGAGAAAGATAGTAGTCAAATAACTTTCATTTGACAAAACAGAGATACAAATGTGTGCAAAATTTTACATTGACCATCTAATGAAATTTCAATTGTCCATCATTGTGCATTTTCTGAAAAACAAAAATTGATTGTCAGAATTTTTGTGGATCGTTTGCACATTCTTGAACACTTGTGTATGTACATAAGACATGTGTTGTATGTTGAGAAAATATAACCATATTTTAAAGGATAATCAGACACTCCATGCTTGAAAATAATCTTCAAAAATAGAAAAAAAAAAGACAGAAGAAAACATCTTGATGAAGTATACTACTGACTAGTCGTAGCAAGTATGAGTTTTATTAAATAATTATCATGGTTTTTACTACGTGGATTTTATGTGTAATTTAAAACACTTCAGTACTAACATACATACTTGTTATGACAGTACCAGAAATACTCATATTAAAGATTGCATTTACACAGATATTTACTGTTGTACATAGTATCAATTTAAATTGATTTACATCGATATACTTTTAACAAAGTACATGACTCTATGGGTTTAGTTTACCTGGTATACATGGATCACATTTTTGCCTCGAAAGAAATAACATATAGAACATGATGATAAGCTCGTCATTCAGTTAATTATCATTCTTGCAAATACTATACTTACATATTTCAAGTCAATATATATAACAAGTAAACACATTTATTTATTTTTGAGAGGTGTGCATTTTCTTTTTCTTTTCTTAAATAAGTTTGTCTGTTTTTTTTAATCTAAACAATTAATACTTCAAATGTTTTAATCTACTTATTTATGACAGTGCAAATCAAACAAAAAGTAAATAAAAGTGTTTGTGGAACAACTATTGAAGGGTATAAATCATGCTTTGACAGAAGAAGAATTTGGGTTTATAGATTTACTTTTTAAAAGTTGATAACATTTCAATGAGGTTCTTGAAATTAGTTGCTCGGCTCAGAATTTGAGACACATATTTTTTAAACTAAGAATATCATCATACAAGATTTTGACCTTCAAAATTCTCACCGTTTCATTTCTGAAGAATACGGGTTCAAATGTTTGGAATTCAGATGTTGAAGGTATTTATGTGCTAATTTGAAAGTTTGCAAGGATGTCATATTGTAAACAATCTCACCTGTAAAAATATTCCCCAGTTGATGGATAAAGTATCTTTTGTGGTTGTGAGCTCAGGGTTGTGTATACCTATCCATCTATCTAGCTCAGGGTGGGCATAGATTAGACATTTCCTCCTTGTTCCAGTACCGAAACATTCGCAATAAGAATAAAATAAAATAAAATAACCTGTTAAGTCAATGAATATCAAGGTGAACCCTTTTGATATTATTCTTATTTGTAAATTATTACATCATTTTTCGATTGATTACTGAATTTAGTTGTTGGTCTTGGTTTCCTCCCAGTTTGTACAGGTGCACTGACAGAGAGGGTTACAAGTCAAGATTGGATGAATAGCTACTTCTGCTACTATGACTATTCCCCATCCTCCTCCACCTAAACCCTAATCCTAGGGCAAATGGAGTAAAAGATAATGGTATTCATAGTAGACACAGTGGTGTTAGTTTGTGATTTCAAGCCATGGTAAGTGACTACAAGTGTTTTGTAATAACACTTGGATGTTAATGGCATCATTTATCTTGAGAGATGTTGTGAACAAAAGAAAAGAAAAATATCAAACAGTTAGTGCGAATTTATCATAAGATAGACCTTGCAAAAGACAAAAGAAAAAAAAAATCACTAGTAATTCAGGTGTTGCACTTTAATTTCCATTTCAAATCTTATGGTTGAAAAAAATTAGTTGTTTGTTTTATAGTATTCTATTCCATGGCTTGATATGTAATATGTTTGCAAATTTATTGAAAGGTCTATGATTCCAACAATAAATGGAGGCTTGTTAATAGAGCCATCCTCATTCTTTCATTCTTTTGGAACCCTCTATGAAAAAATAAAAAAAAAAAAAAAAATACATCCATACATTTATAATGAAAAGGTTATACTGATGATTGAGTATGTACCATGTGATGTATTCTACAGTAACATGGGAATCTGAGGAATGATAAATAAGTGAAAAATATGAAAAAATACATCTCAGAATTGCCCATGCTATAAAATTTATTGTTTGCACACTATTTTTGCATTGTAGAAGAACCCATATTGAGGGTCTTGGAATTGTGAGAACTTGTTACGTGTTTAGTCAATTGTAGAATGAAATATCAAAAAACGTCATTTCTTTTACAAATTAAAGTTATGTAAATAAAATAAGAATGAAAAAACAACTATTGTTGTTGAAACTGGTAGAAACAGTGTTCATTGAATGTTGCAGAATTTCAAAGGTTGCAATAGAGTTCAGTTTGGCATCCAGTGGGTTTGTATTGTACAGTACTCCATGTGTGCTTGCATTGCTGCATCAATTTAATTTGTTTAACTTGAGCAAAAAAATTAATAATCTTCAACATGTATCTTTTGAAATCATTGTTGTTCATCTTTTTGTAGAAGCAATATTATTGTACTTCTTATTTTGTTCACTTGTGTCTTTCATGAACTTCTAAGAATATATAAAATAAAGTAAATTTTTGCACTAATCCTCAAGAAACAAAATTTCTGCAGTTGAAGTGTAGAATGCATATGTACTAGTCAAAAGGTGATTTTTTTTTTTTTTTTTTTTTTAAATTTATTTTAATCATGTATATGAATATTTATTCATACAATAATTAGTTTTAGATTGATTTATTCACCTATTTATTTTAATTCCAAAACGATATATATAATTATTTATTTATTTATTTTTTTTATTTTTCTTCTGTACAAACACATACATCAACAAATTTTATCATTCAAAAAACCATCCTCTTCCAAACCTATTGCATTTAAAAAAGGGACAAAAGTATAAAAAGTAAAAGTGATTTTAAATGCTCATTAGTTGATAAACATTGTGCCAAGCACATCACTAAGAAATGCCTAGACGAGGAAGAGAAAGGAGGTTCCCATGTTGATATGGAATTTGGCAATGAACGGGGCAACACAACTCCACAAAGACAAGTCCACCATGAAAGGGACCAACCTTTCATGAACCCCAGAATCCCTAATTCAGCTGCACCCATGGAGAATGAAAGAGCGAGCGCGCGACAGAGGAAGACGACGGTGTGAAAAGGGACCAGGGATCCCAAGACGGGTACGCGAACGAAGTTTTCACATCGTTCGTCGACGACTTGGTTTCGTTGGAAATTGTGACGATGAATTGGAGGAGAAAGAAAGGAGGCAATGGCTATGGCTGTGCGAGGAAGGCGATGGGCCTCGCATCGCATCGCATCGCATGCACGTCGCAGCGGAGCTCATCTTCGAGTCACTGCCCAATTCAATTTGTCATCGTCCTGCCAGAATGGTTCTTGGAGATGAGCTTATTGTCTTTGTGGCCTGGTGCGTGCTCCCATGAGTCTCACGAGAATGTTTTTGTTGTGGTGGAGCCGTTTTTCTCCTGGGCTATGGGGTGAACATGCGTGGTGATTGGAGTAGTACTTGGTTATTGGTGGCGTGGATGTGTTGCTGGAGTGAGGTTTTGATTTGCGGAGTTTATGGAGTGTTTGTGTGGCGGTGGCTGTTTGGTTGCCGAATGGAATGGTTGTACCTTGCTGTTTTGAGTGCTTCTACCTTCGCGTTGGTACGCGACTAATTATGATATCGGGAGAGTACATGTGAAGGATAGTTACTGTTCCCCCTGAAATCTTCGACCATCAACATGGATTGCTATGCGGAGGCAAGCAGGAAGGTGATGTCGGATCGTTTTGTCTACCGTTGATGTCATGAATCTAGAATTGTGTGCGGGCATTTCGATTTTTCACATACAGTAGTAATCAGCTAAATAGGAAATTAACTAATCACACTTGCTGTTCTTCTGAGATTCTCTGACGCACTCATTTTAAAATATTTAGCTCTTTATTTATTTCTTTTATTTTTATCATTTTGAAAAGTGAAGGATACTTTGGTATTTCCCATCACGGAAGTTCAATGCCTGTATTTGAATTAAGTATTTAATGAATTCCTAGTGTTTCTTTTCTGAATTTCATGTAATTATTTTAGATTGACACATTGAAAAATCAGATATATATTCGCATATGCAACATATATATTTGGATATATAACATATATATCCGGATATTGTTGATTTATTTACGTGTTATTATTTAGAGTATATGGTGCATCTCAAATACGACAACTTCGTGAACGCTTGCATTGGTCTTCTTAACCTGGTTTTGTTGTTGCTTCTTTTACACGGTGCAGGGGAAGAACATTCTTTGTTGATTGGGAGATTTTATTTGAGTTCAAATCCGATTACCAAGACGTTGTTAAGGTAACTCTTCACATCCTACAGTCAGCTTCTTCAACGATAATGAGATGGATTTTAAATATTTAATCGCATAGTATGTGAAGATATTGATAACGCTCAATCTGAGCAGTTGCTGTTTCATATTCTATTTTGGTTGTTTTGAATTTTAATACTAAATTGATTGCTCGGAGTCAAGGGTTTTGTTCACAGTTTCATTAGAATGATCTTACTTCTAGACGCACGCGGCATATAATTTTTACAGCAGAATCGAAGACTGATGAGATTGATGGGTTTGTTCCTAGCAATGGGTGTATTTTCCCGGTTAGCCATGTATGGAAGGGTTCTCGTTTTGGGTAGTGTAATTCAGCTTACTCAGCGCGATGAGTGAGCACACCAAGAAACGATCTCTTAACTTCCGCTGTGTTCGTTTTTTAATTCCAAGAAGGCAACTCTCTACACTTTCTGGATGAAGTGGCCGACATACAATAAGCATCATGGTTATGAACCTTCGATGCAATTTCTAATTGGGCTACTGAGATGGACATTCAGGAGATGAACGTTGTGATGCCGACGAAATTTACAAGCTAAGTTTGTGGACCCGATCAGCTTGACTCAAGTTGCACGTTGTGATGTCTTTGATGGGACACAGGTCCTTGGTGTAGGTGACGGAGAGGTGTTGAGGGAGATCGCAAGGCACAGGTCGGTTGAACACGTTGATGTTTGTGAGTTCGATAATCCAGTTGATGTAAGTGCATTACATTCAATACCAGTGACTCTCAGCTGTTGATTGTCGATAAGACGTTGTTGTAAGGGTCATATATCATTAATTTTCGTATTATAGAGTTTTGTTAAAGATATTGTGGCTGCTTGCCGTCATACTTTCAAGGGCTCCGTCAATAATGCTTGGACCATTTTCCCAACCTATCCAAGGTGAATCAGGTTATTCATCAGACGTGAAAGTATCATTACATTGGCATGTGAAGTGTTCCCATGTCGCAGAGCTGCCGAATTATCTTTTTTGGTTTCAATTGGAGTTTCTGAAATCATGGGTATCGAAGCTTCTGGAGTTTCGAGCGAAGTCTCGCGACAGGTATTTCAGAGTGATGAAGGTGTCTTGTAGTTCCAAGGTTTAGAATCACTAAGATTTTAGGTAGCGAAGCTTTATACTAACCTGGATCCATTTAGGCATGTAGTGGAGTGGCTGGCTTTATTCTCTACTCTACACTAGATCCCGCTGTTAATTCTTGAGACGCTCGTGACTCTATCGATCAAGCAGTAGACTCTGACAATTCTTCCAAGTGTCATACGAAGTTCAATAATTCAGCTGCTCTTTTCTTATTACTTGTTGAACTTCATAGATGCTATGTGAACTGAAGTGCAGTTACCTTCAGCTTTTTCTAATATTTTCAGAATGAATTTGAAGAAACTAACTTCGTTGGAATAAATTTCAGGGTGCAATGTATTATTATTTACTAGTTGGGTCAGAATGCAATAAATCTGATTCATTTTAGGCGAAATCGTAGAAAACTTTCTTCTTACAATTTAGAGGGCCTTTGATGGGGGTTACTTTTCTTGGGAAGGTCATGGTATGTGATTTTATGTATATTGATGACCGATGCATACGATAGCATTTCCCTACCGCAATTTGCAAAACTGAAATTAGAGCTGCTACTTACAAATTCTTCGTCATCTAAAATGAGAGGTCGATGTGTTACTCTTCTCTAGTTCTCTGTGCTCCTTGGTAGATTAGAATTACAACGAAAGAATTCTCTGCTGTGTTTCCCCCACCTACATTATGATGGGAAGTCAGGCATCGTGAAGGGGCTCAAACCTGTTCAACGCCGTTGCACCAACTTTTCTAGGCTTTTCTAGCTATGTGATGCGAAGCTACAATCTTAGTGATTATTAGTGAAAATACAGTTCAAGACGCTGAGATTATGACCATTGTTGCGCGAAGAGCGCGACACCTGAATGGTAGGTCATTTTTAAAAACAGATTTTAGCAACAACGTGTGCGACCCTGTGATTGAGGTTTCGATGGCTCTGAACTGATCCAGATAGCATTAAGTGCTGGGAACATGAATCGCTTACTCTTATGCCTTATTCATGGTGGTCACGCATTTTGTAACTTCAAATAAGAACCAGGCAGCGAACCAGGTTTATCTTCACATACTTCACAAAAGCAATGGTATTTATGTAGTTCGTCTTTAATGAATTCAAACAAAAATTGCATATTAGAACAGCTGAAAGCTGTAGAGATTTTGCCGATTTAGGACATAGCTGTTGAAATCTTAGTGCCTGCTGATAACCTAAATTTTGTATAAAGAAATCTTCTGCAAGATTAGAATCTCCACAATTTTGGTGGAAGGTCCTGCACGTTAGAGTACGGAGTAATCTAGAGGTGGGGAGTGGAAACAGACTCTTGATATTAGAACATCAGCTCCATTTTGAACCAATTCCTCTATTGATCAAGCCCATGCTTCATCGTTCATGACATTCATGACCATCTTGACATCTACGTCTTTCGCTTCTGGCGTGTTGCGTGTCTGTCGATCACACTCTAGTCTGTTTCGTCGAGATCCTGTGATCGCTGCGCCTGGAATGTTTGCTTGGGATAATTCAAGTGTGAGACACAGTGCCCACACAGGACAAGTGAAATAACTCACTGACAAGTCTTGTGAAATAGCTTCGCTTTGCAGCTTCGTCACATGAAAACATACAAGGGAGAATGGCGATTTCGTTTTCTGGTCGTCTCGCGCCTACAAAGTCTGTGCTCTCTTTCATCTCGTGATTATCAACCATTGAATTCATGAAAGAAAAAACAACTCCGAATTCCTATTTCTTCGAATCTGCAAGCGTGCTGATGGCGGGGTAATTGGAGTTCGGACCATGATCATCTTAGCACGTTTGTGGCTATTTTCGAATGTCAGTTCTGATGCTGTGGAGTTCAATGGAGAGGTTTTCGATCGGGAGACAAAGAAGGAATTGGACAATTGGTTTCTTGTTCGAGTTTGAGGGTTGCAGCAGGTCGAAACATAGCAGCAGAACGTCAATAGCAACATCGTGCCTGCTGCTAATGTTTCGACTTGCTGCAGACCAGGTTTGACGTTAGATTAACAGCAGGCACGATGAAGAAGGAAGCTGGAATGTGAGGTTCGACGATTTCTGGTGGAGTATTGGAGTGGGACGCGTGAGCGGCACTTAGGTGGGGGCAAGTATGATGGCTGCTATGGATCCAATGCGAAGGATGCCACCAGCCTTGTCCCAGCAGGCATTGGCCTCATTGTTGGAGTTACTGCCACCATACTCATCTGAACTTCTTTATCGGTCTGACCAGCCTCTTCAGGCCCCTATCGCTGTTCTATTGAGGATCACTCATTCCTCTTAGTTCTTGAAAGTTATAAAGCTTCAGAGCATGTTCCCTTGAAGAGTCACTGAGAATGTCGTGTTTATAGAGAGGTGCAGTTAACGGTCTTTCACAATTAAGTTGGTCTGCGTGCAGTTATTAACTGCTGAAGGAGAAGGCGTACTTGTGCACAATGCAAGTGGCTTAGGATGAAGAATTTGAGAAGCATTATCTTCTTTATAACTATAATCGTGATGACACTCGTCCAGGTCCAATACTAACTTCATTTTGCTGGCTATTTGATGCTGTTACTGCCTCTGGTACTGTCCATCGTACTTCCATCATCTTCGGGCTGTATCGACTTTGCTCTGTTCCTATTTTGTTACATCAACGAGGATTTCTTACATTTACCTTTGTAGTTACCTCGAGATCGCCGTGGTCTAGCAAGTAGAAGCTGGTATTGGAGGATGGAGTGCACCGTCGTCTGAGTTGCGAAAGTTGGAGCAGGAGGCCAACGAAATTTTCTCTAACTTTCCTGACCAGTGAGGTGTCGAACCCCTATTCATCTGGTAGGGCGGCCATTCGAGGTCATAATTTTATCAGCTTGACAATGTGTCTTCAAGACGGCCAGGCAACTGGATGATAAACGTCGAGGAGAACATAGTTTTATGTTTGGGCTTTATTCTCCGTGCGAAGAATGGAAATGGATTTTAAAGTCTGATGTCGATGCTTCAAAATTTTAACGTGTTGACTGATGATGAGTTCAACCCGACAGGTATTATGAGGGAGAAATCTCCTCAGTTTGTGAATAGGAGCCTGAAGATGGGAAAGGTTTTGCAGCTTGTGAAGATTAAGATCGTCAATTTGTTTACTATCGTCTAACAAGTTTGCGATGCTGGCTCTCACAACTTCAAACCTGTCATCTAGTCCATTCAGTTTATACCAGGTTCTGTTACTCAGCAGGTATCACTTTTGGAAAAGAAAGTAATGATGCTTGTTGTGGAAACTCTTCATGTTGGATGTCCTCAGTACACTAACTATATATCTGTCATGCTATGTTCAATGACCACACCTGGAGTTGAATACATATCTTTATCTAGTTTAGACGACAGATGGAGTCAGATCTTTCAATTTAGCCAGGAAATCTGTGCGTGTGGGGAAATTAATTGACATCGAGAGCAAGCTGCGCAATGGAGTGAATCAGGTACTCCAGTGTTCAAATTAATTCTTCAGGATGAAGTGCACTTTGAAAATTTTCTACATCGTATACTTCTAAGATATACCAGCATTAGATCTGCAGCAAAGTTACATGTTAAGCTATGTTTTTTTCTAGAGAGCGACTATTTTTATAATTTATAATTGATCCTGGGAGTTGTGAGTACTTCTGAAATGGAAGAGAGTTTACAACGAATGATCGTAGATGATCTTGCTCGATCTCGATGAGTTCCACATCATCACCAATTGGTAGAGTAAATATATCACTTATTAAAGGTTGTATCCTACCAGCAAGGCACTCCCTTGCAAGTCGTTTTTGGATTTCGTTCCGACACTAAGCGGATTAAATGTTCGAGACTTATAAAGTTGAAGCACGCATTGCAGCAAAAACGTAGAATGATCATAAATTACAACTGTTCAATACCGGCTAGCTATCATTTTACCTACTTGAAATTCATATGTTTGGAATCGATGCTCAACTCAAAGACTGGAACTTAATCCTGAAAAGTATCGCTCTAAGAAGTGACTTCTTCCGACAAACTCCTCCATCCTCACAAAAAAATGAGAGGAGGGCATCTTTAAATGAGAACCACATTGCTAGTAGCATGTGAACAGTTGGAATTGCTAAATTGTTAGTTTTTTACAAACTGCTCAATGGACAGGATTTGAAGGAGGGTAACGACTAGACTCAGTAGGTTGCATTGTAAATCAGTCGGCAGCCTGAACTGTACTATTCTGAGGAAAAAAATTCTCAACTAAATTGAAAGATCAACCATTGAATAAGTTCGCTGTGTATAGGGTGAACCATTCCAGCTAGTATATCCAGTGTCGATATTACAGCCTACCTTCGAGGAATGCATCCGGCAGGCCCATAGGAATATCCTGCACTTTTTCCTTAAGAAAACAAATAAAAATAAAATACATACTCATGTCCCTTTTTCTTCCGTGACGTGGACAGCAACCTACAGCAACTCCATGGGCTTCAACCGAGGCCAGGGTTTCAGACTTGAGCCTAGCTAAAAGACGTGGGGACACGGAGCACCGCCTGCGCTGCTGCCTGACCTCAAAGATGACACCAATTCCAACTGCGCTTGATTCTGGTAGTAAAACGGGATCAACACAACCTGTGATGAAAACCTAGTACCACAGATCATCAAAGATGAACCGACATAGACAATCGGAGACTATGCAACGTTGCACCAAGCGAAGGATAGCTCCCAAGAAGACGGAAATTCACTCCACCAGGTTACTAAGAATATAGAAATAGATCCCTATTGCAGCTTCGTCGAATAACTGAAAAGAAGCAGATGAATATACATGATCCAGGGCAGAATATTGGATAACATATTCACTTACAGATCGTATGAATAAAGTCACTGAAGATGCAGGTTGTGGGCCAACATATTTGTCAAATTAATAACGGAAAATACAATACAATCACTGAGACATTGTGCACTAAGAGTAGAACCACCTTACATAAAATACCTGAGTAAAGCCAGCATCCAATCGGGGATCCAGAACAACAGGATACACTCCTGGTGTTTGTGTTAAAACCAAACACAAAACCAGACCAGGAACCTCCATTAGTTGCAGATTCGAACAAAGGGTCAGTGAATCGTCTGCTGCTTTGAGTCAGAATCACCAACGCCAAGAATGCTATGAACATCACTTGCCAGTCCCTCGCCAGTCAAATTGAACTTGCTCATGATTGGCAAATCATTGTCCTCAAAGGTGATGCATGTGCATCTTCATTCTATCAACGTATCCATGGAACTTATTCTACAACAGCATGTCATCCACCCAACTTCACTCATGATGTGGATTACCTCGAAGAGATCCGAGCGACGTCTCAAATCCCCCTTCCACCCTCCCCATTCCTACAATTCATCTCTACACGATTCATCCCCTTCTCTGCGGTCGTCTATGGCTCAGAAAAAGGCGCACCTGTGTCATCGATTGTTTGGAGGCGTTGTTTCCCCATTCGTACGACCGTGGACGTGGCCACGACCGCGGTGGTTTTGGGCTTCACCAGTAGACATGGCCAAAATGTCAGGAGAAATCTCCCAGCTACCACTCTTTCGGCCCCAGCTAGAGCGACGTGGGTGGGCTACAGCTGGACGCCCTTGCTCAAAAGGGCGTGGGTCGAAACTATCCTTCATTTCCATCCCACATTCACTCCCAGTGCTAACCCGACCTCCAGCCATCTCCAGCTCACCCCCCTCTCCGACCATGTCTTCGGCATGTGGCCAAGTAGGCTTGTATCCCTGTTCCACATCAGGGGCTTTACCAGCACTCGATCCATGCATTTCTCCCATATCCCTCGACTGTTGAGTAATACCCATCGATCCCGGAGTGACTTCCTGCACTCTACTTCTGAACCGATTCTTGGAAGGCGGAATCTTGAAGCAGAAAATTTCGTTGAAATTAAGAAGACATCCTCGATTGTAAGGATTTTCCTTGCTTTCATAACGATACCGGAAATTCTCATAGGTTGTCTACAGCACAAGAAAACAGGACCAGGACGCCATCAACATTAAAGTCGGGAGGTGATAAAACAGGGAAAAGAAAAATAAAAAATAAAAATAAAAATAAAAAAATAAAATTGAAGGAAAACAAAGCATGCAAACTTACGACCTAATATAGTCGTGAGTCACAATACAACTTGCGTGTGAGCTCTATAAAGAAACACACCTGGTTTGTGCCTATGAGATACAGATGAAACACAGTGAGTCCGCCCACGAACCATACACATATAAAGGTATACGCCATAAGAACAATTGAAGCTGGAGACTTAGAAAGAGCTTTCAACACCGTGCGACCTCCTTCGTCCATCAAGATTTTTATGTACAATGCGCACATTGCAAAGACATACACACACAAAAGTGAAGTTGATGACACGAACATAAAGAAGAATCGATAATTCCTCTGCAAACATCACAGTACAATTGACCACGAGAAACAATCAGGCGTGTGAGAGCTCTTACAGCAATACCATCAACCAAACTCGTATAACCAACAAAGTATGATCAATAACACACCAACGCATCATAATTCATCGAATGTGCCTAAGTAGTATAGGTGATAGAACAAGAAAAGTGCGTACCTGACCAATACATTGTCCAACCCAAGGGCAGTGGTGATCAAATCGTAAAACGCAATTGTTGCATATGGAGCAGTGAGAACACCTCGGTGGACGATAAAGCATGCAAGTGTCACAGTACTTTGTTTTCACGACGACCCCATTGACCGTGACATCCTTTGTTCGTGGCAGACGTAAACGAGGGGTCTGCCCTCCCCAGTCCGCTGGAGAGGTGCTGGGGTCAAAGTCTTCTTCAGGTTCAGGGGGGTGAGTGTTACGAGGAATAATCCCTGGGTCTCTTCCTGATGTCAATAGCAGCAAGACCAGTACCTTCACCAACAAAGTTCCCAATGCACGTTAAAACACAGCCTTACAATAAAGCAGGTGCGGCCGAAAAACTCAATAGCTCAGAGACGTCCAAGAATCCAACGCGTCAAGGTTCCCCTGAAAGCTAAAACATGCACAAACTAGTCAACACGTAATCTATCATGCAACTTGAAGTAAATGTACTTACATACGCTGTGTTGATGACAGTAACTGCAACAATTGCAATTCCTCCATTATTATCAAAATGATGAAGCAGATGACGACCAACAAAAACACAGAAACAGACTGCCGGCGCCACGATCAAGAAAACTGTGACCCCCAGCGATCTTACATCGGGACCAAAAACCAATCTCCCGCATAGGAAGAACCTCTGCACATCAATCACTTGAACATCAACACATGCTCACTGCAGTTCATGTTAAAGCTTCTAGTTCCAAATATAGGTCAAGGAGACTCCATACCTGAGTATTCTCACCGTGCAAACCTTCACATCTATGTAAGACTGCCCATGACCTATGTTCAGCTTCAATTAATTAAAGATCATCATCCGACTAAAATTCCACAAGACTTAGCCTAATCGGTTGCTGTTACTCGATGCCCAAGATAAACACGAGTTATAAAATCCATAACCAACCAGTTTTCATACACTAGTATTTAAGATTCATTGAAATTGCACCAAGACAATACCCTACGCTGTCCTACAACCTTAAAAGACTTGTAAAGGAACCGCTGACAACGTATTTCATCCCAACATAAGAGTCGCAATTGAGCTCACGACTTAGGCTGCACTCTTAACTTTGTGTATCAAGACAAATCAGTACCGTAACATAGACGCAGTGTGCGACAATGAAAGATTGCTACGCTTAACCTGTTGCCACACATGTAGCTAAAAATGTTTGAAATCATGAGCGCAATACATTCCCTCTGTCTTGAAACTTCACTTCCACAGAATAGTAACTCTGTAAAGAAATGGTAGGCCTGCAATTTTATACGTCTCGGAAGCATGAAACATCCAGGTAACCGTTGGAGCCCTTCCCCTCGGCGTAATGAAATCCAGAGCGCCAATAATCAATGGAGAAATGCTCTTGGATTGAGCTACATATATCACCTTCTCAGGTAGGCAACCACAAACGAAAAGAACAAGAAACTACTAACTGAGATATTGGACTCCGTGATACTGAAATTCCCCGAGTATTTCAAACATAACAAATTGCGCTCAGTGGTACAGATCCTAATTCGCTAAGCTCAAAGTTCCTCTATTGGGTATGTTGCTACTACCTCTGGATTTCTCAACATAAAATCCTTCTAAGTACAAGACTGGGTGACGGATATGGAATATTCGCGGATACATAGGTTCGACAGCTCGTCCCGACAAACGCCATTGTTACACGTCGTTTATCTCTTACACTTACATATCGTTTTAAAACCACAAGAAGAACTAAACTCATAGTAGAAAAATAAAAAAATTCGGACAACAACAACAACAACAACCCGAACTTACGTTACTGCCTTTCCAAACTTGATACACTCGTTTGCCCATTCCACTCTGATTCTGACTAGGGTTATCCCCCATCGCGAGTGCCCTACTCCCTCGCGCGTTCGACGACGACGACGACACCTGCCCCTGTCCACAGCCGTCCCGTCAATCCTTTCTTCCTCCCTGCTCCTCTTCCTGCAATGATATTTTTTTTCTCATCCGCCTTGTGCCATCACCTGGGCTACTTCCTAAGCCCCTTTCCCCCCTCCCTCCCCCTCCTCCTCCCTTGAACCCCGTCCCGTTGTTCACCTCCAAGGCAACGGCCTTCTGATCTCAATATTCGCCATACCTGGCCCCTGCCCACGGAGCCTCACCATACCCCGCCGCAATTGCATGCAGCGAACGTAGCAACACGAGGGAGAAAAGAGAGAAAGAAAGAAAGGGAGAGGTCTAGCAGAGTGTGACGCCCTCCGCGACTGAATGAGAGAGAGAGAGAGAGAATGGGTAGCTCTGGCAAATGGGGCGGGACGGAAGGACGAGAGTGAGTGATTGAGTGAGCGAAACGAGACAGGGGACTTGCAGGGCCAGGTACGACGCCAGATCTCCAGCCTGCCTTCTTCTCTTCCCCCTTTTCCCCCCTGCCCGGCCTGTCCCCGACCATCCTGATGCCCCCACCTCACCCGTCCCTACACCCGCTCCGGAAATCGGGCCTCTGCCAGTCTGGCCGCCACCTCAAGTCTGTCAGCGGCATTCACCGCGGCCCCTCCTCTGCCGCTGGACTGCTCCTTTTCATGCTTGCCCCGAGAAAATTCATCCATTTTCAACGAATATTCCTCGTCTTCATCCCAGTTTTCGATGAAGCCCGGATAAACGTGTGGGTATTTATTATCCACAATCTTTTCTCTAATCTAAAATAACCCAGGGGCTTTCAGTGTAAAACTAAGTTTTCCTTGGGGGATCCCCGACTTACTGGGAACGTTTACTTTCTTATGTTCCCCTGTTCTTCTGCACCACAGGATGAGATGAATGAAGGTGCCTGAGTCCTGTTATAAATGGGATACATTGGATGATTGTTTTTCATTCATCCATTTCCTATTCCTAGTGGGTGATTTGGCCAGCTCATCACGCGCACTCCTCCTCCAGTGTGAATGGGGTCTAACGAGGCTCACAGGGACCAACAAAGATTGCTTCCCCTTCCACCAATTCCAGCGCAACTTGCCAATGCTTTTAAATTTCAAAATATACTCATTACTTTTTTAAAAATTCAAAAAACGGACTCATGAATCATTACGTTGGAAAATATGGAACGTGTTTATTTATTTATTTATTTATTTCTATGGATTTTTACTCGGGTGACTGAATTTTTGTTTGTATTTTATAATATTATGTAATAAGTATCCTTCATATCATTTGGATGGATTCTATATTCACTTTGTGTTTTTGTTGCAAGAGACTCTTGAGTGGTTGATGATTTGGATTGTCATGTAGTCAAACAAGCATTTCATGTCTTGAGTTTTAAACAAATCCGAGACTGAAACGTGATTTATTTTGCAGATTTTAAGAATCAATGGTGAGATGTTTTGTTTTTAGTATGTGTGATACATGAAAGTGTTTGAATATGCACCAGTGTTTAGATTTATTAAAATTCAACGTGTGTTGTTTGTGTAAGGTTTTACAACCGCATCGACTTAAGAATTTTATATAATAAATTGTAATCATGATTTTTAAAAGTTTGAATTATGTCTGTTTTATTTCAGCATCCATTTGATGCAGCAATAAACAAAAATTTACATTCAAGTTAAACACAAACATATTAGAGTGTGTTATGATACAAAGGATGTAATAAATTAACTTTGTCTGTGTCATTTGATTTTCCTAAATACTTCAACCTGAAATAATCTTGTAATATTATACATGTACTGATGATAATACATGGTATTAAATGAGATTCAGATTACATCCATCATGAAAACGATATTCCAGATTAAGTGAATTTACAATCATTTTCAGAAAATTATAAGTATAACTTCTCAAATTATATAGATATTAACAATTAAACTTTTGCAGAATTTTTGGTACTGAATTAAAATAAATAAATAAATAAGATTAAATGTGGAATTTAAAAAAAATTAAAAATTAAAAATCCTAGAAACATCTTATATCATATAGATAATAAAATGGTTATCATATTATATTATAATGTATATTAAATAATAGTAATAATATTTTATTGATTAATTGATGGAAGATATAAATTAAAATAAACATGTCTTGATTTTTTTATAAATATATATTATTTGGATAAAAAAGTGTAAGAGAATTCTTGGTAAAAATATTGATATGAGGTTTATTTTCACAACAATTTTCAACACAAAAAACAAAAATTGTGCATATAAGCAATGACATTAAACTATTAAATGATGGTAGATTAGTATTATGATGTTGGTGGTTCAAAGTCTAATTATAAAACTCCTGACCTTGGATAATGGATGTCAACATATAAATAATGAATTTTTTATTTAAAATATATAAATATGAACTTAATATATTCTTTTGTATCTGTAAAAAATAAAATTAAAATTTTATGTTTTTTCACAATTTTTCAAAAATAATATTAAATAAATTCAAAAATTGAAGGTCAATCAAAATTTGACAATTTTGTGGTATAGTGGAAATAGGGACAAATCTAGCATACAGGTGAATGTGAGCCATTGTCACGGACATACATATAATTACCTATATGAATAGATAAAAGTATGAAAAAGTAGGTTAATTGTGTAATATCTTCTAGAGAAGCTTCTTAGAAGCTTCATAGACGCTACTTTGACTTTATAGGAGTCTATAGTTGACTTTTAGGTTAGAAACTTGGTCAACAAGTTAACCATGTGCCACGCATGTTGGAAGCTTAAAGAACAAGCTAACTACGTGGTCCATCCATAGAAAACTTGCCTTGCAAGCAAAGGCATGTGGCCTAGAAAGTCAACATATATTGGAGGTCTTATAGAACATCGCCACGTGGCTTCTAGTTAGATAGTATATATAGAGGCAAGAGTGAAGCCCTCTTCACTCTTATCAACTCCTTTCTTGCTTCTAGTCTAGTTTCAAGGGTCTCTAGTTTTCTTGTATTTTGGCAATAGCCATTCCAGTTTCTTTCTTAATATACATATTTCTATTTTGTCCTATTTCTTTTTGAGAAAAGTCTCACTTACTCTTTAGCTTTCATCGAGTTCTTGTCCTTGACAGATTGACAAGAGTACACTTACAATATCAGAGCTTTGTCTTTTCTTGATTAAGAGTGGATTACCCCTTTTTCTTGATAAGACATAAGCGCATTAGAAGTTGCGGATTACCCTCTTTTAAACTGATATTGTTCTTAGTATTTTCTTTGTTATCAATTCCTCTCTTCTATTTGTTTTGAGCGTTATTAGGCATCTTCTCTTTTCTAAGTGCTACTATGGCAGAGCTTGTTGAAATGAAGAGTGCAATGGCACAGATGCAAGAACAATTGAGGGAGTTAATGCTTGCGATGCATCAACTCAATTTACCACCACAAGGAGCAACAAGAATGGTAGGAAGTGAAGATATAGAGATGATTGGGGCTGCTTCAACATCTGCACCAAACCATATCCCTTCTCCCAGAATGGAACACCCTTCGAGTGTTAGAGAACCGAGAGTTGCCTTGCCTGAGAAGTTTGATGGTACCAGATCCAAGTTTCGAGGATTCATCAATCAGGTCCAACTAGTGATTGAACTTCAACCCCAGAGCTATCCAACTCCAGGGTCACAAGTAAGATTCATTGGTACACTTCTTTCAAGTTCAGCATTGTCATGGTTTTCATCTTTTCTTGAACGACGAGATCCAATATTGGATAATCTGGAGGCTTTTTTGGCGGAGTTTCGATCCATGTTTGGAGAACATGATGCAATTCGTGTTGCAACCAACAAGATCCGTATTTTGCGACAAGGCAATCGATCAGTAACATTATATGCTTCGCAATTTCGACAACTTGCAACTGATATCAAGTGGGATGATGCCGCACTTGTGAGTCAATTTCTCTACGGATTACAATATGAGGTAAAGAAATTGATGCTTAATTTACCTGATCCTCAAACATTGAGTCAAGCAATTGACTTTGCTGTGAAGTGCGACAATCGACTTTTTGAATTTCGATCCGAGAGTCGCATAAGTGGGCCTCAACGTTACTACAATTCAATGGCAACACCGACGTCTCCTCAACACATACCTTCAGAAGTAGAGGATATGCAAATTGATGTAGTACGTTTCAAACCTCTTACTGAGCAAGAAAAGTCTTGTCGTCGACAAGAAGGATTGTGCTTATATTGTGGAGAACCTAAGCACACTGCTCAACATTGTCCAAAGAAGCGACGTAACTACAAAATGAGGAGTACGGCTGTCAAAGAAGACAGTATGTCGGAAAACGAGTACGTCCAGCTACAATAGGGACCGTGCGGCTGGAATCTTGTACAACTTCTAATAAAGGTCCTATCCTCTCCTCAGAACCATCTCCTTGTTTTATAATAGATGTGCGTTTAGGACCTAATAATTACAAAGCCTCTGCCTTGGTAGATTCAGGAGCCTCATCTTGTTTTTTAGATGAAGAATTTGCTAGATGTCATAGAATATCATTAATACAAAAAACTAAACCTGTATACGTAGAAGTCATAGATGGTCGTCCGTTGTCTTCTGGAGATGTAACTCACGAAACACTTCCTGTAGATGTAGTAATAAATGGTCATAGTAGTTGCGTAATTTTTAATATAATTAGATCTCCCTCTAATCCAGTAATTTTAGGCTTATCATGGTTAGAAAAGTATAATCCTCGAATAGATTGGATTTCTCGTAAACTTGATTTTCCTCAGAGCATTAGTAACAGTTCTATTAACCAAGTAAAAAACCATGAGTCTAGTATAGTAAAACTCGCACCTATAGGTGCAAAAGCATTTATACACGCAGCAAAAGAAGGATCAACTTTTGCTATTTATGCTGCACCTATTTCTGAAAGCGTAAAGACTTCAAGTGGCATTCCAAGTCAATATCAGGATTATCAAGACGTTTTTGAGAAAAAGAATGTAGATATTCTTCCTGAGCATCGCCCATACGATTGTTCAATCGATCTCAAGGAAGGAACTCAGCCACCATTTGGACCAATTTACAGTTTATCGCAAGATGAGTTGGCTGAACTCAAGACATATATTGACGAAAATTTAGCGAAGAATTTCATACGCCATTCAAAATCTCCAGCAGGAGCTCCGATTCTATTCGTAAAGAAAAAAGATGGATCTTTACGAATGTGTGTTGACTATCGAGGACTCAACAAGATCACAATCAAGAACAGGTATCCATTACCTTTGATATCAGGACTCCTTGACCAGTTAAATCAAGCTAAGATCTATACAAAAATAGATCTAAGAGGAGCATATAATCTAGTACGGATCAAAGAAGGAGATGAATGGAAGACTGCGTTTCGAACCAGGTACGGGCATTTTGAATATAATGTCATGCCTTTTGGACTCACGAATGCACCAGCTGCTTTTCAACATCTCATGAATGATGTATTTCGTGAATTCT